CAGCGAGCGAGCGGCTGGGGGTGCTGCCCGTCCTGCCCTCAGCGGCGGCGGCGTTTGGCCGTTTGTGAGGCTTTGGGGCCGATGGCGATCCCCTCTGGGGTGCTGACGGTCTGTTTTTCTGTAGCAAAGCTACGGGCGGCTGCACCCCGCAGCGCCGTGGGATGCGCTGAGCCAAGAGTAGCCGTGCTGTTTTCCTCCGACAAGCATAAACAGGCCCCTCCCCGAGGGCAGAAAGTGCCAAGAGCTCGGGCAGGATTTGCCCCACGGTAATAAAATGCAGCTGGGCTCAACTGGAGGCTCGCCCAGGCACGTTTCTGGTTAATTTTTGCACATGTGCTTTATCGGTTCGCTTCACCCGGTAATCGCGGTTGGTAAAGACCCGTGGCCTCCTGCAGTGGCAGACTGCCGTGGGGTGTTTTATTTAAGCCCTTCTGCTCCTCGATCTTTTTCTGGAGGGTGCTGATTTTTAACAAAGGCCAAAGCCTCTCGGTTTGAACGCAAGCATATTCCCCTTGTCCTGCCTTCCTTTCTCCTCTGCTTCTGGGACAGGACAGCAGCACGAGGAGCCAGGAGCATGAGTGGCAGAGCCCAGCTGTGGATGGGAATTAAAAACATCCTGTTTGTTTGTATAAACAGTGAGTCAGTTTTATTGGCAAAAATACTCTCAGTCAGTGGCTTTCCTAGCAGAAAAGGTCAAAACTGGCTGAGGAAAGAGTTAAATGTTGGTTGCACATGAAATAGGAAGGGACAGACTGAAGCTGGAGAAGGGGAAAGTATGTGACTAAACAGCCTTTGAAGTCACCATGGAGAGGCTGCTTATATTTTGCTCCCTTATCCATATCAGAAGCGTACATGGTAACCGGCTACTTAAATGGTTTTGGACTCTTCTACCAGCTGGAGAGGTCTGAAAGTAGAGCTTTGAAGTTAGTGGAAGGGGGAGAGGCATGCCGTGAGATGGCAGAGGTGATAGACAATGATGGCTGAGTGCACGTAAAAAGGCTGAGAAGAACAAAGGGTGCCCAGAATATGGGACAGCAGAGAGATTTAAATATCACGGAGGAGAAGGAATTACTTACGGTCCCATGGAGGATTCAGCCAGCATTCCTCAACTGCAGTCCATAAATGAGGTGGAATAGGAGGAAATTCTTCCAGAGCTGACATATTAGGCTACAGAATTGTTGTCCCATGAGAAGGGATAAAAACGTTGTTTAGGTCATTATAGGTTTTATATGTTTTTGTATGGTTGTAGGTCCTGTAAACCCATGGAAAGTGTGTGTCTTCCGTTCTGTGCTGCCCAGTGAGACAGATCTCACTTTCAAGTCCTCTACCTCTGACTGTGGCTTGGTGGGAAGCGCAGCCCTTCCCTGTGCTGCACAGCGAGATGCTCTCTGACTCCAATCATTGTTTGGTGCATTTGAGATTAGTTATTGGCGAATACTCACTGAAGAGGAGCAAAGTAAAATAGTAGAGTGGCTCTTCCTTCCTGGAAAGGAGTGTTCATTAGAAAGATGAAGGTGAATGCATTTCCCTGGCATTTGTTTCTGTAGTAACTTCAAAACAGCTCCTCTGGGCTGGAGGGAAGTGCTGATGCTCTTGCTTGGAGGAAAGGAGGGGTGCAGACATGCACTGTTGGCACAAGGCCCACCCTGGGACCTTAGCTGTTGAGTCTTTATGGAGTGAGGAGATAAATCCCGTGCTGGTGGGACTGCGCGACTGTGTGTATGTAGTATTGTGTGAGCTGGCATCTGGCTCAAGCCAGTGTGTTGATGAGGGACATGAAAGGTTTTACGATAGTCAAGTGAGCAGCTAAACCATTTCAATGCTAGGCTCTCGTGAAATGGGCAGAGGTTTGTGATAAAAGAATGGGCATCTAGAAGCAGGTGCAGAGGATGTGTTTTGGTGCTACCTGTGGGTAATGCTGGACCTTGTGATGACAAATAGGACATAAGTTTTCAGCAAATAGGCTGATTCTTTACTAGTCTTATGCTACAGAAATCTGTATTTAAGTTATCTAGAGCCTCCACCTTGGGGATTTGGAGGGACTTTTACTTGTACAAGGGAGCATTAGCTTTGTTTTACAACTAAAGGAGGAGCTCAGGAACAGGGGAGGAGAGCGCTGGGAGACGGCAGGTAGTCAGCTGTCTGGTGGTGGTCAAAGGCGCCATTTGAGAACGTGCTATGGCAAGGGTGGGCGTCTGCAGAGTACAATGCTTGCTGCAGTGGCCACTAGCAGTTGGATGTTTCTGCTCTGACATACTCTGAGCCGTATCTGTTTGCTCATCAAGAGCAGTAACTTGCTGCCTTTTTCCTGCCTAACAGTTTCTCATTTGATTTCTAGGTTGTTTTCCTCCACCTCCCTGAGACCCCTCTTTCTCCTCAGCATGTCCCTTCTTGGCATCCTCTTGCTGGAGAGATGGAAACCCAGGTTCCTGTTTGATTTCTCAGGTATGTGATGAGTAGCACTGTAGCTAGTGACACAGTTCTGGTGTTAATAACTGCTGGGCTGTGGCCACAGCCGGTCCCTTCCTGGCTCTCATGGGTCATGTAAGCCCTGCTCCTACTGTAACTTCAGTCATTGGTACTGGTGCTGCTTCTTGCCTGTTTGTGTCAGAGTATTAGGATACATCCCCTGGGCGTGAGGAGAATTGTTCCCAGTGATGAGAAGTACTAGGAGTGGCTCATTTTGAGAGTGACTAAGGGAGTCCAGCTAGCTTCTCAGGGATGATGCAGTGTTTCTGCTGTGTCCTTTCTTGCAAATGTCATGGCAAAAAGATCGTTCCAGGTCTGAGCATATATGGCCAGCTGAGCTGGGAGAAGGAAATGTGGGGTTGAAGTGTATTGGTTTTAGTTAAGTGCAATGTGGGCTTATGCCATAAAAGAAGCAGAGCAGATGAGAGCCACTTCTCCTTGCGGCAGGTAGCAGAGTGGATGATGAGGTCTGACAGCAGGGACAGTCAGTGTATTGTGCTTGTACTGAACAGCATCTGGTCTCCAGCTAATCAGTGAGTCTGATCACTTGGCTTATCTTTCCCATTTATTGAAGGGTCTCTGCCAACACTAGACACAAAAGCAACAAGAGGAATAGCCTCATAGCGATGATAGGCGTGGATTGGCTGCTGTCTGCTTTGAGTGCCTCCTTCATTGGAATTTATTAAACGTCTGGACCCAAACCTGCCTACTGCATCTACTGCTGCTGTTCAAAGGCAGCTTGGGGCCCTCCATCCCTGCCCCCCTACTCTAGGGAGGGTTTCTGAATGAAAGCCCCTCTATATGTGTGTTTGTAAGGTGCCCTTTATTTGACCTAAAAGGGTACTGACTTAAAGGGTGCTTTCACAGAAGTCCTGATAAGATTAGATATGTTTCAGCTGTAGTCTTGAAACTGTTTGCTTTGTGTGGTTCAGGTAACTAGGCAGCCAAACTGGACTGGCCAATTTAATTTCCTGCTTATTCACATTGGATTTTTAAGGGAATAGTTTAAAGCCAACCAAAAACATCTCACTTGAAAGACGTCCAGAAATGCAAAAGCCTGGTGTCCAATACAGAATGGTGTCATTGAGGCAGGTGGGGGTAGAATCACTCCAGCAACTACCAGGCCTGTGAAAGTTGTGTTATCACAGAAGAAATAGGAAATCCATGCTGAAAATTTATGTGATGCAGAGCAGTGAGGAGTAAAAAAAAAAAAAAAAAGCAAAGAAGACAACACACCAGGGGTTAGGCTCATCCTATGTCATCAACTCTGCAAGAAGTCAGTGCACATCCTACTGAGCTGCTCCTCGGTGGTGTTCTTCCCCATATTTCACTGCTTGCTGCCTTTCTGCTGCTGACAGCAAAGAACAGGGGCACCTTTCTGATGTGTCTGGTTAGGTCACAGCCCTGATTTTGACATGGTCCACTGGACCGTGTTTCCTCAGCCTCCGCAAGGAAAGAGCGGTGCTCTGCGTTCCTGAGGGGCCTCCTGTTGAACTGGCACTGCTGAATACTTAGGGGTTCTTGTGTGGCTCTCGCTTCCCACTGAAGCAGAGCTGTAGCTTTGTGGCTTTCCTCCTCAGAGCTTCCTGTAAGCCTTTCCTGGAGATTTTGGAAGTAGGTCAGTACCACACCTTCAAGAGTCAGCACGTATATACACAAACCTCAGCTTGTGGCAGTTCTGTGTGTCTTGGGTGACTGCTTATAACATCACTTCTGAAGGAATGCTAAAACCACAGCGTGTATTTTGCAGTTACTCACACACTGTGATCAGGAGCACACTAACAGCAGCAAGATGCACAACTTTTTTAGGTCCTGTCAGAAGGGACTGCATATTTTCATCTCCCACACAGGGTATTTTCTCCATAGGAAACCACCTTTATGTGGGGTTCCACTTAAATATTGTTTAAGGACTTAGGAAGCACCTTTGCTTTCTCCTGAAATGGGTGTCAAGTAGGGATGTTTTCTGTAGCATTGTTGTTTGGCAGCTGTGTTCTGGTCAGTGTAGAAGAGCTTTAGCAAAGCCTGTGTTGCAATTGAATGCTAGTACTCCTTAAAAAGGGCCCCTGCTTTCTAGCTAAAGTTTACACACAGATGAAGAATGCCTTTTGGGGAAGTGTTGAAAACCTGTAAGAGCCAAGGAATCCATCAGCAATAATTTGTCAGTACCAACATGTAACCTAAACTCTTGCATGGCTGACTGGTCTCCCAGAAGAGTCTGGTGTATGTCAAGTGGTTTGTATTAATCTACAATCCAGTGTGAAATGCCGACAGAAATATATCAGCCACTTATTGATGATCTGAGGCCAGCTGTGGGTGTCATGCTTGCTGGCTTAGATGTACCAGTGCTAGACAGTATCGCAGCACAGGCTGGAGTTAAGCTTTACTTAAGTGAACGTGTCTTGTCAGAAATGCTCTGCGTTTTTTGTGTTTGGGCTGTCCCTCCAACTGTTGTAAGACTGCAGTGCTTTGGGATGGACAGCAGGCAGACTACTCTACTACAGGAAGCAAGATACTGTTGATTTTAAAGACAGCTTGTGTTTTGCCAGATAGTTGAAATCACGTGAACACTCTGCAGCCTGCTGAAATGTTCTGCAGCTCCCAAAAGTGTCTCTGAAGCCTTCAGAAGCAACTGAGGAGAATTGTTTCACTCCCTCTGCTGGCATATTTTGGATGGCTTGGATTACTGTGGCCAGTCGGAGGGAGTGTGGGGTTCCTGTGCTGTCCCACTTGCTGTGATGCTGGCACATCTGTCCAGCAGCGTATGGTGAGCATCCCAGCACCTCGTTTGGTAGCTGTTACAGTCGGTATATCCAGCCATCACAGACGGGCCAGTGCCGAATGTAATCTATTTAGTGATTGAGCGCAGGTAATAGATGAGGCTTTGAGATATAGCTGGATTTCTGCATGCTGTGATTAAGCAGCTTTAGATTCCTGAGCACAACAACAAAACACAGCAACGGCGGTCGCACAAGAGAAGCAACCGCCCCAGGGGGGTGAAGCTGCATCCATAATATTCATTTCGCACCCCGAGTTCCCTTTCTGAGCAGTGCTTGCCAGCTGCACCAGCCCCTGTGCTGAACACTCGTGGGCAGAAGAGCGGATGGGCAGCCCAGTCTGAGAGCAGTTGACTCCTTGTCAGGCCCGATTACTGGAAATCTGGGTCACGCTCTCAAAGAATTGCCTCCTTCCCTGGGCGAATGGCCTCCCACTCCACTGTACTGTGGGAGCTGGCTGGTGCAGTGCCTGCAGCAGGAGGAGGAGTCTGACATATGTGGCCCAACGTCCTGAGTCTTGGGAGAATGGTGGCAGGGCTGCTACAAGCTGTTGCTCTCTTCTGCGGCTTCAGCTGGAGTCTGAAGTCTCACTAGGCATCGACAGTGATGGATGTTCACCTCTTCTGTGTGTTTTCTGGGGCAGTTGTTACCACTCTTGGGCTTTGCATCTGGCTGATAACTCCAGGGAGGATTCAAACCCCTTTTTGCTCATGTTGCATTTTTAAGCCCATTTCCAACAAGTAAACTTTGAACATAAACTCCCTACCTTTATTTTAGTCCCATTTACATGGTGACCTGCAGTGTGGGGGATAGGGTCCCACTGATTTTTAGAACCTCTTGGAGGGCCTGAACCAAGTTTGGTGGTGGCCAGACAACATCAAAGATCTGACCCTACCAGCTTTAGGACATCAGGCTGACAGGTTGAGGAGGATAGACCTCAGAGGGCCTTTACAGCATGATCAGGGCATGTTAAACACAGGAGACTTACAAAGACTGTGTTGCTGCAGGAGCTTTGGTTGTGCCCTGTACGTCCACAGACATTAGTCAGCTAGCCAGGACACCCAAGGGCACCCAGGCTTATGAGTTCCAGTTGTCATAGAAATATTTAGGGTTTTTTCCTCTATGTATCTAAAGGCAGAGCATAATTATATGTGACCTCTGCCATTGAAACACTGTTCTTCCCATCATTACTGCTTGGAGTAAGTCCTTGTTTGATCATCACTAGGTTGGGTGCAGAGACAAAAATGGGAGAAGCTTTCCCTTGCTCTTATCCAGACTGCCAGACCTTAGGAGTGTAGTTATATCTGTGCCTGGCACAAAGGGCTGTCAGGGAATATGAGAGCCCTAAAATCAGATAATTATACACAAGACTGCTATTTGTTACTTAATTCTGTGGGAAAGGATAGAGATGGCACGGACATCTCTGGCATTTGTACACAGCATCCTGCCAGGGACTGTGGTCTGGGCTGGTCAGTGGGAAATGCAGCTCAAACCTGCTAGTGCCATGTTGATCTCCGAGGTGGCAGCTGAAAATTTGTCCAGCTCAGGGGCTGTGCTGGCAGCCCTCGGTGAATGACAAGGGCTTGGTGGCTGCCCTGGGGATGGCACTGCCCAGGCACGTGGGACACCGGGGCAAGGTGTACGATCCCTGTGGCAGGGAGCACACGTGCTAGCAGCAGGGTGCACCTTGGATACGAGTGTTAGGCCACATGTTTGTCAGTACAGGTTGCAAGGTGTGCTGGGGCACACTGAGACCAATGCTCTGGCTGCTCCAAGTCTCCAGGAGTGCTTCACTGAAGCCTGCACAGCTCAAACTCTAAGCCAGTGATCCTGCTTGCATGAGAGCACAGAGAAGGTCCCCAGGGTGCATCCCAAGCTAAGGATGATGCTTCTCCAGCTCTGCTCTGTTTAAGTGGCAAAAATGTCGGGTTGTATTTTTCACTTGGCTGACTAATGTGTTGTGTTGTCTCTACAGCACAGCCATCAGAGGAGCCAGGAGGGGAGAGGTAAGCTCACTGATATGTGTTCCTTGTGATGTGTGAGAGGCGAGAGTGGGGAAGCCTTAATTTAGCATGGTGATCTCACCTGCCCTTTTTGCTGTTGTCAATAGACTGCATGGCTCCTGCTGTGAAACACTGGTAGCAGTTTCTCCTGCACTGGGAACTGCTTATCAGCTCAGGAGCCACAGTTTGAGACTCTGGGGAAAGCTAGTGTTCTTTCAGTAGCAATAAAGCTTGAGTGCTTCTGTTGTTAGGAACTGTCAGGTTTCTTTCTTGGACTATTTTAAGAATCCTCCAGAGATAAGGAAATCCCGAGACTGACTTTTGCAGGCCATGTGTGCTGTCTGTGGTGGCGTAGCTTGCATCCTGCGCTTGGCCATGGTTATAGGTTTGAGTATCACACTCTGGTTACCTTGGACTTGGTGCCAGAGGAGGCCACATAACTAGTTCCACCTCGAGTGCTTCTGTCTGTGTGGCTTTGAGCAGACTGCTTTGCATCTTGGGCCTGTGGCGTGGGGATGCTGTGGCATGGTGTCTGCTGCTTGGCTTAGGTGTCTCTTGGCGCTCTTCCTGATTAAAGGAAAAACTATCTCCAAATCAAGCATCTTCCATAGTTCAGTTGAAGAGGCAGTCAGTATTGTCAAGCCTTTGGTAGGGATCTCTGCTTCCCAGTGCAGCTGTTCCCCCCACAACAAAACAGACCGTGTTCAAAGATTGTCTTCTTGCTCTTGTCTGTCTCTAGTGAGGGGGTGACTTCAGGGGCACAACCTCACCTGCTCAGTGTCCCTGAGCTGTGCCACTGTCTGGCAGAGAGCTGGGTCACCTTCAGGCTGTACCTGCAGGAACTGCTACAGTACAAGAGGCAAAATCCTGCCAAGGTAAGCTGGAGATACCTACTCTTCTGTGCAGGGGCTTTTCTTTCCATTACTAGTGGCCTAGGAGATGGAAGAATGTAAAATCAATATTTTTACAGTTGCTGTCCCTGTTTAACATTTGCTGTTCATTTCCTTCAGACTCTATGCCTTGGGAAGCTTAAATAATGAGCCTAGTCTTCCAGTATTTGTAAACTTGAGCTGAACTTAACCCCTTCTGTGACTAGCTAGCTATACTTAGTTTTATTTCTTAACATGCAAAGGAAGCTCTTGGATTGGGAGTGGGGAGAAAAAAGGGGAACCTACAGCCTCTGCCCCTTTAACAGGCTCCATTCTTAAGCTGGTCCTGGCTATTTTGCTAGCCAGGATAGTAGCTAGCAAAGTCCAAATGCAGCAGTGTTTCCGAGTGCATGGAAACTTTTCATTAACCATGTTCTGGTGGCTGTGACGTGTGTTGTTTGGAAAGGGTTTGTAGACAGGAGCTGCCTTTGCATCACAAAATATAGGACAGACTAGCCACTGGGAGTGTATCAGGCTTGCTGGGATCCTGTGTGCCAAAAGGAGTGAGTTTCTATCACTGCTGATTAGTCTTATGCTAAAAACACTGTCCCAGCTACAGAGAGTAGGAGACCAGGACCAAGATCCCCATGAAGCGTGAATTCGTTGGGAGCAAAGCCCTCAGAGGGCCCTAGCTCTTGTAGACCCTTTCCATTGTGAATTAAACTCTTCATTGGTGAATTAAACTCTTCATTGCTGGATTTAGTTGGTATCTGAACACATGCCCTGGCTTGCAGGGTGTCCTCACTTCTCCCCCTCCCCAGGAGAATGCAGGACAAGCCATCAGGGCTGCATCATTACACTTCCACTTTTTCCAGAGGAGGAAGGTCCTGGTCTGGTGGGAGCGTGGGTTCTGTTAATGCTTCTGCCAGCTGGTTTATGGCGTAGCAGTGGCACAGCATCTGGGCACTCTGTAAGAGCTTCCTGTCTCCATCAGGACGGTGCAGGCTTCTCTTAAAGTGCTGATCTCTGCAGGAGAGATGTATTCTAAAATGGCAATTTGCAATATCCCATCCTAGCTGCAAGGAACGTAATTTACTTCATAAAGAACTATCCAATAAAGTTTTGATTCATGTTACTGGGGTATCGGGTTACCTAGGTCTTCCTGTGCTTGAACCTCTAATGCTTACAGCTTAACCAAACCAAGCTGTGATTGTCAGCATCTGAATGTACTCAGGGCAAAGCTGGTGTACTGGCTTTGTTAGGAGCATCCCTCGTTTTGCTCTAACTGGGTTTTCTGCACTGGTTGCATAGATGTATCTCTGCCTCTTGTCACTTCTGTTTGTTCCTCTCTCTTCCTTCAGTTCTGCATGAGTGTCTGTTCAGGCTGCCTGATTCTGGCTGTAGTTGGACACTATGTTCCAGGCATAATGATCTCCTACATCATTTGTGAGTATAAGCAGCTCTCTTGTCTGACTTAAGCTGAAACATGACCTAACTGTGCTGTTGGTACGCTGGTAGAAGCATATTTGTGGTTTTCTTGAGGGGATCTGAGTTAGGTGATTAATCAATACAGGCAACGTGCTCCGCGAAGTCTCTTGCTTCAAGTGCGTGCATGCAGTACAACTGTGAGGTCAGGAGAGGGAGCCGTCGCTGAAACATTGCTTTCCTCTGCTACCCACGGCTGGGGCTGCGCTGGTGAGGCTCAGAGGAAGCAGGAAGCTCTCAGTTCCTAGAGTGGGCAAACCCACATCGAGGGAGTTGTTAAAGAAGCTGCATGTCTAGTAAATAAGACCTTTTTCTCTGCATCGTGAGTCCCTGCTAACTCTGAAGACTGTTCAGGTGCTCTGCTGCTAGTACATCTACATATGAGCTCTATGCTGCTACCCTTACAAAAGTTTCAGTGATTTTTAGTTTTAATAACCTCATTTCAGGGCCTCTGTCGCATGTTGGGGCTGGGATGCCATGGCTGAAGAGGAGGGCTTACGCTTCTTAACATAAATCTGCATCATAACAGAAATCTATTAGGAAAACCTGGTTAATCAAGCAGCTTTGAAATGAGTAAGAATAGCCACGGATGAGGATTTTAAGCGGAATCAGATGGGAAAGCAAATGCCATTCAACTGCGCTTTCCTTGATGCAGACTTTCTTGCTGGTGCCCCATGAAGGGCTGGGTGGTGCTCGGTCTGTCTCTCACATTCCCCTTGTCCTGTGTCTGCAGTGCTCAGCATTCTGCTCTGGCCTCTGGTGGTCTACCATGAGCTGATCCAGAGGATGTACACGCGTTTGGAGCCTGTCCTGATGAAACTGGACTACAGTATGAAGGCAGAGACCCTGCACCACAAGCATGAGAAGAAGAGTAAGGATCCACCTTCTCTCTAACTTCTGCTGGTGCTGTACTTACAGGGTGGAGCCCTAGCAAAGGGACAATGGGAGAGCACATCTGCCAGCGCCATGTGGTGAAAGGCTGCAGCAGAGCAGGGGAAAACAGGCTGAAACTCGAGGGGTATGGGGAGAGCAACTGGGCAGGGGATCCTGGGAACAGCAGATGAGAGCAACAGATTAGTTGTTGTCAGGAACTTTGGGCTTCTGTGAAACCTGTGCAGTTTCACAGGATAGAAGAAGTAGTGGGAAAGTGATGTATAAAGGCATAAAATTCCTTCAGCCTCATATAAAGTCTTTCTTCTCTTCATAGAGCGACAAGGAAAAACTGAGCCTGCAGCAGGTGATGAGCCAACAGCAGAGACAGAGAGTGAGAGTGAGGCAGAGCTGTCGGGCTTCTCCCCAGTGGTAAGAGCTGAGTAGAAACCAGTCCCTCCTGTCTGGTCTGTAGTGGCTTGAGTGTCAGGGGGTGTTCTGAGTACAGCTGCATTGATAACAAACGGCAGAGCAGCAAGTCACTTCTTTGCAGAATTCCAAGGGGAGAAAGGTATTTGTTTGATGAATGCTGTTGTCTCCAGCCTGAGTATTGAGAATTCAGTGCCACAGGGCTGATGATGCAGTAGCAGGACAGGGCAAGCTGTGCTCCAGCCTCCTGCTGACCTGCAGCATTGCTTTGGTGGTTACACCTCATTCTGGGAGAATGCAAGTGTCTCCCAAGGAAATCAACTCTCCTGGTGTAATGTGCAGAGGCTCTTGCCACTAGAAAAGGGAGATGAGCAGCATTGGCGTCTCTTGCACAGTTCCCTGCTCTCAGTCAGACCAGGTGGGACCTTTCTATATGTGCACCACAGAAATGGACCAAGTATCTTCCTTTACAGGAGCTCTGGGCATGTAGCTGGGCTGTGAGATGGGAAGCTTTGACTTCCAAGGGAATGCAGATACTTGAAGCGCTGCTCCTTATAGAAGGTTTCACTGGGCCCAGCGTGAAAGCAAAAGGGAAGGGGTGTTTTGCTCCTTGGTGATCCCAGGAGAGGAAGAATGATCAAAGCCTTCTGAGACTCCTGCAGGTTGATCCCATCTTGTGCTGGCTCTTTTGGGTTCTTCATAGGGCAGGGAAAGCTTCAGGCAGTGCATTATTGCAGGAAAGCCATTGAGCTGAAACTGTCCTTCCCTGGCAGTGCGATCAGCACCTTACTCAGCCCCCTCCTGCTTTCCTGCTGTCCCTGTGCAGAGTCTCTCCAGCAAGGACTTGTGCCTGGAAGCTCTGGTTTGTGCAGAGTCGCCTATACACAGCACTGGTAGTCAGACACCCAGGAGTTTGTCCCTCTGCCTTCATCCCATGCAGGTGGATGTGAAGAAGACTGCCCTGGCTCTGTCAATCACAGACTCTGAGCTCTCTGATGAGGAAGCTTCCATCCTGGAGAGCGGAGGCTTTTCTGTCTCAAGGGCTACCACCCCACAGCTGACGGATGTTTCTGAAGGTACGTGATGGGACACTGCTGCCTTCCTGACCCTGAGTGTTTTGTCCCAGAACAGCTGTCCCTCCAAACACCGAGAGAGAACCTAGCTATTTGCAGGGGAAAGAGCACTGAAAGGTGGAAGCAGTAATAGCAGCACAGCGTGCCTTTGCTTCATGAGCTGGCCCTGAGTAATCTGCGTTAGATTACAGCCCCACAAGGCAGTGCTCTCTTGGCACTCCAGCAAGGGAGCAAGGCCATCCACAAAGTCCCACAGAAATAATTGCATAGTATAGTCACTTGCCCATATATATGATGCTGGGTGAAACAGGTCGGACACCTCACCTGTCAGACTTACCGGCTCAGAGAAAGACTGGTTAGTGGAGAGGAACAGGAAGATGACCACTCGGATGTGGTCACTTGAGTGTCTGGGGAGGAACGGGCAGGTGACGTGCTGTAAGCAGTTTCCCTGACCCCGTGGGTTTTACTGGAGGGCTCTAGATGCAGAGAGCATGAGCTGGAGAATGAAGTCCTGAGCACAGAGCACGTAGGACAGGATGAGAAAAGGGACATGCCACGTGGGCTGTGCCACTGGGAGAAGGGAGTAATGGCAGATCCTGTCCTGCTGCTCTCCCAGAGCTGGGAGGTTGCCCAAAAGTGAGCTCTGGTGTGTCAGCTGGGGGAGGTGGGTGGGAGGTGTCCAGGCCCTGGCTCGAGGTGAGGGGACCTGTGTCTTAATGCTGGTGCCTTTCAGACCTTGATCAGCAGAGCCTGCACAGTGAGCCAGAGGAGTCGTTTTCCAAGGACCTGGCAGAGTTTCCCTCCGTGGAAGAATATCATTCCAGAGACCTGGGACCACAGAGTGATGAAGATGCATTTGGTGTGCCTCTGGGTCCTGAGCTTGCCCACGCTGCCCGCGAGCTGGACTCGGCAGAGAAGGAGGCCGTGGACTCTGACCTCTCCATCCTTCGCCTAGCATCTCCTCTCCATTTTGTAAATACACACTTCAATGGGAGCGGGCAAGTGGCAGGAGGCAACGCAGAGCCAAAGACTGTCCCTGCCCCGGGCCTGGGCATCTGCATTGACACGCTGAGCGAGGAGATTGTGACCACTGCCATTACCACGGCGGTGCAGAACACCCTCTCTGCCCTGCTGCGGTCCTCGGAGGCCAGCGAGGGGCCCTCCCTCTCCGAGTTCCTCCCCACCGAGCCTGAAGAGAAGCTGAGCTTCCAAGCACAGCTGTCAGAGAGCGAAGTGGTGGAGACAGAGACAGCAGCTTCACCGG